TATATTCCACAGACAGTATTGGAAAACAACACGCACAAAATGTATACAACAGAGCCATAAAAACAGATAAAACAAAATTTACCACAACAGACCAGACATCACACTCATTGACAAACACAATAAAATCACATACATTAGACATAGCCATTCCATACATTCACAATGTACAAAACACATGCACTGAAAAAATTAGCAAGTACACAGAACTTGCCCGGGAAATAAGGCATCTGTGGAGGATGGATAGGGTGCTTATTGTACCTATCTTTCTCTCCTGTACAGGTGTGATACCACACACACTACACAAAAGCCTGGGAATGTTAGAATTGAGTAGAAATACATACATACATAACACTACAGAAGGCCGCTATATTGAATACATGCAACATTGTTAGGAAATTCCTGAATACAGACACTGACACACTTATTTAATTTTAGTTTTGTTTTGGTTGCTATGCCTTGACTCTGGTCCGGCATAGTATACAGCCATTGGTGTGAACCAAGTAAAACCCACTAAACCCAACATAATAATAATATTTTAGCTTTATTGGCTACTCTTCAAAAAGGAAAGTTTCAAAACATGTTGTAAAACTGTAATTAAATTTTTGACAAATTAATGAACTGCAAAAAATCAAATTAAAAAAGTTGATATGATGAGCTTGTTTTAATCTTGCAAATGTAATATTTAAATATATATATATATATAAATTTATGATTATTATACTTTATTAATATTCACTTTTTGAATTCTGAGTTTTTTAATAACATTTTAATATTGTAAGTATTTACTGTAGGTAGTTGAGATTATCTGTAATAAAATTAGATTTAGTTAGATTTATATACTATGTGATGAAATGAAAAACTTACTCATGAGAACTACATCAAGAGAGTCTAGAAGTCAGCAGACTTAAATGATGCTGTAAACTAATGTTTGTTACTACCCTGCTTCAAATTATAAGAAATAATTAAATCTTGACCATCTTATTAACTATGTACTCAAGTGATAATGTTTGAAACTATAAACAAACAAAAAAAAAAAAGTGAAGCTTATCCATGACTTTTAATCAAGCTGAAATTTTTAATTCATTTTGTAGTTACATGAGCACAACACAAATAGATTTTTGATATTAATACAAAGATTTTCTGGAAGTTGCTTCTAACGATTGGATAATTTGGAAAGTCCTACGTATATCCCTATAAAATATAATTCATTTGACACAGAATTAAACATGGAAAAACAGTGACACCAAAATTATTCCCAAGAAATAAAATAAAGAATTATTTTAATAAATATGGGTAGAATTGATATTGTATGATTATTTTGCTAAACAAACCAATCTTTCCTACAATTCTAATATGCAGACTACCATTGTCGAAATCATTCCAAAAAATATAGCAGCACTAATACAACAATTTGATAATGACTTATTGAAACATCTTAAATTTCCTATAAAAAAGATTCACATAAAAGGTTACATATAATTTCATTTTCTAGACATGAAAGTTCACACTTAAATTTTCAGTTAGAATGCTCTCGCTCTAGATTGATCACTTCCATTCTGCTAAAAACATTTCTTGGTAATGTTGAAACTTTTGTCAATGATTTCTATTTCCATTTTGACCAATAAAATCCTACAAAAAATCACCCATTTCCTATGTCTTTTACCCTAAATTTAATCATGTTTTCTTGGGAATAATTTTGGTATTATTGCTTTCTTTGTTTGCAATGAATGAACTATTTTATAGGGGATAAGACATCTCAAAAGGGTAGGATATTTCAAAATACCCAAAACTTAGACATTTGGGTATTTTGACTAAAGTTTGACCACTTTTTTGTTACAAACAGATCTCATGAACCATCATTTATTAGAAGAAAAACATACGTTTTTGTAGATACACATAATTTGTGATATTTTCACAAACTCTCCTCAACTTTTGATAAGTTATTTTTTTATAGACCTTTCCACTAAGAAAATTTTATGTTAGTAATATAAGGAATTTCCATTTCCCATATATTTTGAATAACAATGATGACATAGTAGTACACTTGGAAACTGGACTTGTCATACATCACCAACACCAGATTACAGAATCACTAAATTTGTTTTATGATATCAAACTGCTTGTTCTATGTCTACTACTTGCAAGAAAACTTTGTTTGATCACATATGTAAAATACATATTTTATTACATTAATGTATGATTAATTTTGATAATCACTCAGCTGTGAGTGACGACTATAGTTGTCAAATTTTTTTTGAGGGGTATCACCAAAAACTAGCCTAAAACTACAGTGAAAAAAAATTCACATAAAAAATGAATTATGTAACAATAAAAAAAGACTTTTCTTTACTAGACATAACTGTTTACAAAATCTTTTTCCGAAACAGTAATGAGAAAAAACGCATGGAAAAATACATTAAAAATTTCCCACGTTTATTCTCCACTATTGGGGGTAGAACCATACCCAACTAGTCCACTGTTGAAAGGTTAATAATGTTGACTAATTTGAATGCATTCATATTTCACACACAATATAGTTTCAAGAATCTTAACCAGAAGAAGTTATTGAAAAAAATCTGCTATAACAGTTTTATTTTACATTAAGAGTACAAGGTTACACTAGAAATAAAAAAATAAACATTATTTTCTTATTTTGTTACTATATATCAGGGCTTCTTAAACTTTTTTTATTCATGACCCCGTTTATGATTGTGATTTTTTTGCGATCCAAAAAATATAAAATAAAGATATATACAAATTTGCAAAAACAATAATGGTGTACTACCACTGTTCACTCTTGTGTTACAATGGAACAGAGACAACTGAATACACTGAAAAGCAACAACACTACACTAGTTCACACTACAATCAGTGTTGCTGAATCATTGTCTCGCTGCACCAGAAGTGACACAAAGTGCAACTCACAAAACCTATGACCCAAAGTGTGCCATTTTCAAACTCTCACAAATTATTTTAAATATTTTGCATTAAAATCTTGTGACCCCAAGACTTTGCTAAGTGACCCCAAATGGGGTCGCGACCCATAGTTTAAGAAGCCCTGCTATATATTAACAATTTATATTTTATTAGTTTTGTAATCTTTTTCAAATTCACTCTGAAAGCGATGAACTAAATGCTCATCACTCTCAGAGATTTATAATTACAAGAGGTTTAATGTTTCATTGTAAAATATATCAATTAAAGTAGCATGACTATAAATTAAATTAATAAATTTATAAATTACCTATATAATTTTTTACATTATGTATTATAAAAATGAATTACAGTAGAGCATCGATTATCCGACCCCCCGATTAATCATCACATCGGTTAACAGACCGTTCTAGTTGGCAAATTTCAAATGTCGGCTAATGGTGTGGCACTACAATATTTGGCTATGTCTTGGCTACTTTAATATTATTTTTGTNGCTGGTGTAGATAAGATGTAATTGTTCTTCTGAAAGCTGGTAATTCATAAATCTCATTTATTTATGCCTTGGCACTATCATATAGTCTGGACAAGAGGACCATTAAAATATTAAAGATTCTTATTATTAATAAACAATAACAGATTCATGCAGTGTCTGTAATGTTAATAATGATAATTATTTGCAAGATTTATAGTATTGTATCATTATTTAGAAGTAAATTTCTTCAAAACTTTTCCTGAATTTCTTAAATTTTAATTCCTGAGCTCTTTGTAATTGTATTCACTTCTTTTATAAGTAAGTTTTATAACATGCTACTATAACAATAATTTTTGTCAATAAAATAATTTAGAAATA